GAAAGTGGCCTTGCCAAATCGTGCTCACAATTTTTATTTTTTCATGATTTTAATAATGAAGATAGGTTTCTCATAACCTTCATATGCTGGTTGCCACACTTATTCCTTCTAGAGTTGGCAATATAGTAGATAGGGAGTGTCAAGATTAGCTAAGAGAAAAAAATAACCCAAGGAATGGATAATGAAAGAAGAGAGGGGAAAGGGGGATGTTTCATATAACATGTTTCCCTTTTGTGACTTGTGAGGAATGAGGAAAGTTGGAAAGTGGTTATGGCTGGAATTTGGGAGTGATGGGAGTAGTCAGGAGTCAAGATTCCTAATTCAGACTGCAATGTTTATCGCAGTAACTTGTCGATTACCAATATTCATATGACTTCCTAGAAATCATATATGCCTCTGGTCAGACATTTTGAACCATGAAGTTCCTGAAGATCCTTATTTGCACCAAACTGTAAGCTGTCAGGGTCATGAGAAATATGTTCCTGATGACTCAGATGGATCAGTTGCCCAGAGGAGACTTAATTAGGTTTGTCTAGTGCCAATATATTGTATTTGTTGGGTCTCTAAAAAATGAGTATTCAACAGAAACCAACTTTTTTTGGGTGTAGTATCCAGGCAAGGCTGTTGGTATTTCTGGGCCTTAGTTTGTACCTGTAGTATTTGGGTTTGTCCTTATGCTTGAAGTCCCAGGACTCAGTTTTCCAAAGCCTCATGGAAGGGAGGACATATCCAGTGCTGGTTTTTTGGAGGGGATTTTCTGATATGTTGGAGTCTTCTTGCAGGTGAGGCCAATGATAACAACACAGCAGCAGCAGGGAAGCCGATTGATTGGACCAAATCAAGGAGGAACTCCACAAAGACCTCCTGCAGGTCAGATCTTTTCTAGCTTGCATTTCATAAATGCTGCTGTTGAAAGAATTCCAAATGAAGTTTGAGAGATACTCTGACTAGAATTGTCAGGATCTCAACAACCTAGAAAAGCACATTCTACAATATCTTGTCCTTTACTGGACATTCATGCATAGGAATGTTGCTAATGGATTGGTGTCTAATTCAAGTAAAGATAAAAGGTTGACTCTAGCAAAAAAACAATATTAAAAATATGTCTGGCCTTCTGCATATAGCAGTTAGCAGTCAAGTATGCATCAGAATACAATTAAAATGATCAGGATGCTTATAATTCTGCCATGCCAAACATAAGCCAATCTCAGCCTACTTATTGATGGCATGTTATTGTCCAGAAACATGTAGATGATGGGAAAAAGGGTTAATATGACTTGTGGTACCTAGGGCATGTTCTCATATGCCTGTTGAGTTGATAAACATGGGAAGGGTTGACATTTTGCATGTCCCCATTTCATGCCGTTCTCACTATCCTTTCCAGTAAAAGTTCTTTCAATGTTGGTAAGTGAATAGTAGTGTGACTCTACTGCCAAGTGGAGTTTGAATAGTCTGGAAGGTGACATGCAATATCATATCAATCACTAAGGAATGACTCACTACATTTCATCGGATATGCTCATTCTGCATTGGTGTCCGTGTAAAATGTAGATACTGCTGCTGACTTTTAGAACAGTATTAGGTAGATACAGGTGTCCACTTCACCAATAGGTGGACATAGTTCATTCATTGACCCCAAAAAAGCATGAAAAATATATATATACTGATCTGACCCTCACTCCTGATTGTTTTCAAGCTGTACCACCATGCTGGACAACATTTGTATTGTGAATATTACAAACTTCCAACAGATGGTAGCATGAATTGGACACTGTGGTGTGCAAAACTTTGTGCTCAAACCTGTCTGT